GGCAACCTCTTCAGACCATGTGCCGAAGCTACGTTTGAGCGCCCAAAGCATGCGCAGTCCGTTCCGATATAGCCTGTTCGTGTTGTCCACGGACTTCAACTCGTAGCGCGAGAGTACACCTAGGTCTTTCACAGTGGGTGTGGGATATAGCGTTTGGCCGTCAAGGGTGTAGGTTCGGCTGTTAGCACCCTTCCCCAGGCTCATAAATACCGACTTGGCTGGGTTGACCGGGAGAAGAACTTCTGCAGACCATATGGATAAGCGGTTGAGGTCTTGCTGAAGTAGGCCACAGTCATCGGGAGCGTCGATTTCTCTCAAAATCTTCATGTCGTCCGCAAACAAGGCACACGGCGACCGGAGAAGCTGTGGTAGATCGTTGATGTGGATAAGGAACAGAGTGGGCCCCAGCACAGTGCCTTGAGGCACGCCAGTTGTAGAGGGGTACCAGTCAGTTAGATGGTCGTCGACCTGTACCCTCCACTTTCGTCCAACAAGAAAGTCGCGGATCCACCGGTGCAGTGAGCCACCGACGCCACACATGCTGAGTTTGTGAAGGAGAACCTCATGACTGACCTTGTCGAACGCTTTACTGAAATCGATGAATATCACCTCGACGGACTTCCCCTTGTTTATTGCCTTCAACCACTCATGCCTCGTCACAAGCAGGTTCGTAATGCATGAGCGACCTTGCATAAAACCGTGCTGTGCGGGCGTCAGGACCTCTTTTGACTGTAGCAACTGCAGCAATCTCTTCTTCACGATTTTCTCAGCAACCTTTCCAAAATAAGTGTCAGACAAATTGGCCTGTAAACGAGAAGGAATAAGACCGGGAGGCATGTGAATGGGGGCCACTTTACACCAGCGGAGCCAGCGCACACTCTTTCACAGGCGAACACATGCACGCTGTACTTGGAGTCAAGCACACACAAGGCGGTGACTGAACCGTATTCTACTCCAAACCAGGTGCATGGAACCACTCTTCAAGCGTAGCATGACCACGAGGACCGCGCTTCCCGTCCCCACCAGCAAGGACCAACTGTCTCCTGGAGCCAGTATGGACGAGGTAGTGGGTAATAGACGGGTAGGCACCTTGTCAACGTGCACACCAAGCGCAGCCACATCGCGAATATTAAGCAACAGCCGAACACTTGAAACGACGATATCAAATAAAATAAATCGAACAATGCATTTAAAATAAATGGGTTACGAACAAATCCGCGATAAGTTCAAGTTGTCAGAAAATATGTTTTGAGAAAATGCCACAAACGCGAAATTGTTAGCGAACTGAACCACAAGGTTAAGCAACGTGTGCAAGTTCGTGTAAACGTTGTGGTAAAAAGGTTATGCATTGAGACACGATAGCAAACCCACTACCTGAAATAAGGAAACACAGCACGCAAGCACGCGGTTATTAAATCGAATGCAGCGTACCTAAAAATTTTGCGCCGTTTCTGTCTACCTTCTCAGCAGGACACGTGGTCGTTTCGAAGCTGGCCCCGAGTGGCCTCGCTTGTGTCTCACTAGGCCCGCCTGACTCAGAGATTTACGACCGCATGTGATACAGCAGCATGCGCTGGATGTCGATGGAGTACAACCCATCGGCGGCTGTCGCTTCCGCACTAGCCGCTTCTTCTCTGCATGCACAAGGGCTTTCTTTTGCATCTCGATAACGGCCTTCGTGACCAGATCGCGCCATGCACGCCGTTCAACGGTTTTCGGTTCTCATGACCTGCAATCGACATTAGAACGTGGGAGGTTTACTTTGATCATGTCTTGGTAAAGTAACTACGGTTTCCCCATGTGCCGCTTTCCAACACTCAGCTGACCATATAATAGTTGCTTCGCTATCAGCGTCGAATCCATTCACTATCCATAACCGAGTCATAGGTGTCTCAGCAAAAGTATGCAGTCCACTGCATACATTCCACTTCGGCACAACACCTGCGTGTCTGCAACTCTGTCGCACCAACCGATGCGCAGAACCCGTCGCAGACACTGTTGATGGTACCTCTCGAGATATCGCACATCCCGCTGGTACATCGTCTACGTTTCGCTGCCATATAGAAGAACGGAGAGCACCATAGATTTGTACACCATCAGCTACGTGCCAATGGTAAACTGATGGTTGTTCCACACTCGGTACTCTAGCTTCCCGAATGCCGCCGCTGCCTTCGACACGCGGATACGCAGCTCACTGTGTAGCTGCTGATCAGTCTACAACACATCCCAAGGTAGCAGAAGCGGGAGGTACTGTTCAATACTTCAGCGCCAATGCTGATTTGCGGCAATATTGAAGATTGCACCTCCGGTGAAAGCTGAAAGAGACGTTCGATTCCACAACCTAATTGACGAGACGATTGAGCAAGTTTCGGGTAATCACCTTGCCCACGGTAATTGCTGCAACATTACTTGCTCTCTTTGTCCTTGTACAGTGCAAGTCAATCTAGGAACGGTTATTCAAGTGACACTCAAAATGTTTTCGCCAGATCTGCATTATGTCTGCAGTCCATGTGCAAGTAGCGCCTGAGCTACCATCGATTGGCGTCCTCAGCGGGTTCAACCTCGGTCCATACACCGCCTTCAAGGAGTCAATGAATTCCTTGTGTTGGCGGCGTTCAGCGTACATTCCATCTGCTTCGCCTTCACCGTCCACCATGCATTTTTAATGCGACGGCGCTCTCGGATCTGTCGTATTCGAATGTTTCCAAACTTACTCTTCCTCCCTAAGTCACTACGGTTTGCCACACGTGCAACCAATGCTGTATTATTCTCCGACACGAATGCGCCAATCGTCGCCTTGTTCTCATCAAACCAATCAGGTCACTTACAGTTTGCTCGCCCGATGGTCTCCTCGGCAGCAGCTGACACCTGGTCCCGAATATGATGCCACAGGTCGTGCACTATGGCTATGCATTTCACATTACACAGGCGTGCAGCCATCACCTCTAACTCAGTGCGCTTTTCCACGGTACCGAAGGAGAGAATGTTAAGGTTATGCCGATTCTCTGCAGGAGTGCAATACATAGATTATGCAAATTGTTGTACCGTTCGGTCCGCACTGCTTTGTGCTCAGTGGCCCATTCAGCTCCACACAGTAACGTGTCATGCTCACTTCACGCATGTCAAGCTGACGTACGATGACATGATGGGGCAGGTGAGGGTGACCACTCCGAGGGTGCGTCCAAGTTGCTATATCACTCGCACTCAGTGCAAATCGAGAGTTCCTGATCGCCAGGTCGTGAGTGACACACAGTAAGAGCAGTTTGTCACCGTTCGCATTCGCTGAACCAAAACCATGCGGACCGATAACATCTATCCACACCGATGCAACAAGCCCAACGCACGCGTTGAAATCACCCAGCAGAAATAGTCGGTCGCTCCTCGACACAGACCGTATCACGGAGGATACCTGAGTGTTTAATTGATCACGTGTGTCATCAGGATAACACAAGCTCATAAACGTGGCAACTTTACCTCTTCCGAGTCATAGACGAACAGTTATCAGCCGCGCGCTGCTGCCTGTTGCTTCACCCACCAGGTAGTCATTAAGGCGATCGGGTATTACACATCCGACCACGTGTTCACGTGGTGCTGTAGTGGCGTTTTCCATCCAGTAGAACGTATAGCCAGCACCAATTTTATGCAACCTACTTTGCTTAGCGAGTCGGGTCTCTCTGAGCGCCACCATATCGACCTTGTAGCGTACCAGTTACAATGCGATCAGTGTACTGCGTCATTCGGGGGCACTTACTCGAGTTCCGATCGAGCAAAGTGTGCACTTTCCAGCACCCAATATTGAGCGCTCTGCGCGGAGTCATACGAATCCATTGATGGGCAGTCGCACACCTGGCTGTTGTGCCTCAGAGGTTTGCTCGAGGGACTCCATCCGGAACCTTTGGCTCAATAGTCTGACCCACAACCCACTGGGTAATTTGGAGGTTTACTTGAGGGACTCCGCCCTTAGCCTTTGGCGCGATAGCTTGACACACAAGACAGTGGGGAGCTGATCCAGCTCGGGAATCTGATTGCAGATACAGAATGGGATTTGCTTGAGGTCTATTACACGCAGCATTTGGAGATCTGGAAAAATTCATGTTTTACGACCGTATTAGGATACGCACCTGAGACCACGGCCAGACGCAGGTGGGTTTTGGCGAGTTTGCATCAATTTGACCTGGGGCTGCTTAACTTGTGGCGGGCAGTAACAAACCATTCAGCACCTAGAGATGTCCTCCCACCGTCAGAGACAAGGCGTGACGCTCGTGCTCTACTCCATTTGAGCCGTAAGCCTATAACTCGTAGACCTGTTATTTCCTATGGCTAGGCTTTACAAGAAGAGGGCGATCAACCACTTCCTGACCTCCGAAGAGGATGGACTGGGATACTGGCAGGGTAGCCACACCTGACAGGAAAATGACTCGGGTCGTCAGCCAAAGCCTTCGATTAAATGAACACCCGAAAGGCAGCGAGTCTAGCACATGGTCAGTTCACTGACTCATGCTGATCGGTGTCCTGGATCTTAGCAGGGAGAAAGACGTACTCCAACTCCCACCAAGCAGTCGCCACTAGGAGGCGTCCAGAACATGAGCCCATGGCACAACAGTAGCGTCAGTGGGTAAACCATCTGTCAGCATGTAGCCGCCACCAGTCTCAGCGCACCATAGGCTCTCCCGCCAGATATATATATATATATATATATTATATATATATATATATATATATATATATATATATATATATATATATATATATATATATGCACTACACCATTGCTGTTATCGGTCACTTGTTAAATATACGTGTGCGTATGACTTTCCTTCAAGCTGCCGCCTTAATTCGTTGGTTGGTTCTTTCACGTCCTTCTCTCTCCTTGGTCTATTGTATCTAAAGCTTAATATAAAACTGTGTTGTCCAATCCTTTTCACTAGCCTCGTCTTGTTCATTTTCAGTCTATAATGTGTCCTCGAGATTGTCGATTTATAAACTTTTGAACATCCCCTCCAAGATCTATGCCTGTGCTAAGACCTTTGGAGTTCCGAGACTGCGTCGTAGATGGACCAGGTTTCAGAGACGCTTTGAAGATGCATGAGAAAGAACTTAAGGCATGCAACAAGCAAGTCAAAGAGGTATACAACAACGCAGAGCGCGTATTCAAAGCAATGGATCGTAAGTCTATATTCGATAGCTGCGATTTAAAAAGTGTCTTAACGTTTTTTTAATCGAAATGTGACCGACTTATTACTGATTTATCGCTAATGTGACATTTGTTGTTGTAATTTCAGTCGGCCGTGCGGTGCACGCAGTGTAGAATGTCCGATTCGTGCAATAGCTGTTTTACTTGTATGTGCAGAAAACATTCGTTCAACCTTTCGGAGAGTATAGATAAACCATTTTGATCGCATTAAGACTGTATTGGGTTTCAAGTAGGTTCTCCCGTCATCCACACGTTGTGTAGTCCTTTTAAATGCCAATCAATTGCTTGTATGACAGTGGTGATTACGACAGTGCCCGACTTAAAATCGATCAGTTTTTCGGAATTTAAATCTGTATCGTAAATCCTGCAGAGTTGAGCACTATATCTTGACAACCTCTATAAGTTAATCGTTTTTATGGCTAATGCATTTACCTTGTAACCTCAATGGGACTAACCCTATGTACTTTGTCCATCTCTCTCCGTTGTATGTTGACCACTTGGGCTATAACAGTCGTAAGTAATTCACCTCTATACCTCTATGTGTACATTTACGGTACAGTGTTCGCCGAACGACACGTTTGTTCAAGTACTAATGTGTAAGTAGCGGGAGTGAAATCCTCCTGACTCACATTCATGGCATATGTTGGGCGATACAGCATGTTCTCCATGTACGCGCGTGTGCATTTTTGTCCCACCCCACAATGTTTACACGCATGGATGTCACCTCCTACAACGTGACCACACAGATCCGCGTCCATGGGCAGAATTTGATCGTTTTCGTGCGTAACTTTTCCTTAACCGTCTACATCAGGGGTCACCAAAGTACAACCCACTGACTGTACCCGATTTTGCCTGGTAAAACCCATGGAACACGAGACGCTGCAGTATAATTAACATTTGACATTGCATGTCGTGTTGTCCATGAGCTTATGCTGTTTGCACACTATCGAAAGGCACCTCATTGTTGTTCCTGGTGACACCGCACTATCGTACTATTTATGAACCCACATCGTCGGAACATTGTTGTGAGTGATCACCCATTCATTCTTGCACCCTGTCGTGTTTCTGGTTACTTCACACCTTTGAGACTCGATTTTCCCTTGGTCAGCTCCATTGAAACCTGTCTCATATGGAACGCTGTTTAATAGTACACCGCTGCCTGCCGGTGGCTAAATGGTTTTGCACGCCTGCCTTGCAATTATAAGGTCACCGGTTCGAATCCGCGTAGAGGCAGGCGTCCGTCGCAACGAGACTAGACCTTAACGTGGTGCGACGGTTTGCGTACCTCATTGACCCATTGAGCTATACTGGGTGATGCCTCCGAGCATCTTGAGAGCTACTCCTACCAGGTTGGTCAATGGTGAGAGGTCAGACAAACTCAGTCTCCTGGTCCTCCAGGTTGGGGGTTTGAAATGGGATGGCGTCCATTTCTGTAAAACTAAATCACTGCCACCCCGCTGCCTTGTGGACAGGCCTTTGAGCCAAAGGCTTTGGATGAGGACCCTAATCGTCCTCCTGTCTAGGTCTAGGCGCCCTAGCAGTATCTCAGCCCACATACAACCATGACATTTTCTTCAAACATAAACTTCATCCTGCATCGGCCGTCGCGCAGATTATCAAGCGTCGCCTTATCTGCTGCATACAGCAGGGCGGATAAGCGAAAACATGCTACTGCTGGCGCCTCCCTTCTTTCTTTTCCACCTTTTTCTCTTAGTCCCATCCCGGCCCCCATTACTAACCTTCCTTCTATAATTCCCAGCTTAATTGACAGCAACCGAAGTGCTACTGGAGTAGAACCATCTGCAGCCACCATCCCACAGCACCTATCGGCAAAAGTCCCTTATAAGGCCATGCTGTCCCGTTTCCATGGCGACATTCAACGTCCGCACTTTAAGACAAACAGGTCAGCAGGCTGTACTCGCACGCACCTTGGACACACTGGGTGTTGATGTGTGTTGTGTGTCCGAAACTAAGATTAATGACCCTAACGGGGTTATTGAATTGACTGCACCCAGCTTATCCTCTCGTTATTGGTTGCACGCATCTGGAGACGCCTATGCGGCACTCACGGGTCAAGCTGGTGTAGGTATCATTCTCAGCTCCAAGGCTGAGTCATCGTTGGTTGATTGGATTCCGGTGAACAGCCGTTTATGTGCAGCCCGTTTGACGACATCAGCTAAGGTGAATTCGCGAAGTAGTACAAAACGCTGTTTGTTTGTGATTTCCGTTTATGCTCCCACCGACTGCAGTTCTAATGCAGTCAAGGACACTTTCTATCACGAACTGAACGCCCTACTACGCAGTGCTACTAGTTCAGATATTATGGTACTTGCAGGGGATTTGAACGCACAAGTAGGGCGTCTGAGCTCTTCAGAAGCTCAGCTGGGTGGTAAGTATGGACTTAACTCCGAACGGACTGACAACGGCGAGCGTCTGCTACAACTGTGTGCGGAGCACCAGTTGTTTCTTAGTAACCCTGCTTTTAGACACAGTGGGCGTCGAAGTGCCACTTGGCATCCACCTGTAGCTGGCCAGCGATGAACCCAAATTGACCACATAGCCATAAGTTACAGGTGGCGCGGTTCCATTCTGGATTGCCGCTCGTACTGCAGTACCTGTGTCGACTCTGATCATGCCTTGGTGCGCTGTCGTTTCTTCATGAACTTTACCGGAAGGCGCACAAAGCGTCTCCTCCGATTGGCAACGGAGAAATTGTCCCAGCCCTCGGTCAGGCAAGCCTATCAAGAAGCACTGCATAGCGAACTCTCGCTGTCTTGTCCTAATGACACTGAACTTCAGTGGAATAGGATCTCGGCCGCTATGCACGACGCAGGAGTATCTGCTTGTGGCACTATTAGTCGTCACCGCACCAGTCACTGGATATCCGAGAGGTCCGTGAACCTGTTGGAAGCTAGAAGACACCTCCCGGCTGGTTCTGAACACAATGTGACCAGACGGGCTATTAGGCGTGAACTAAATCGGAGCCTACGTGCTGACAAGGAAGCCTGGTGGACCAGTCGGGCTCAAGAAATGGAGGAGGCAGGAGCAGTAGGCAATTACCGCAAGCTCTTCCAGCTAACCCGCACCACTGGTCCGAGAAAACCAGGCGTCAGTGAGACAATCAGAGACAGCGCGGGTGCGCTGATACACAATAAGGAGCGCCGTATGGCTCGTTGGGCTGAACACTTTGAAGATCAGTTCAGCTGGCCCCCTGCTCCCGGACCTCTTCCTACTGAGATGATGCAGGACGAGCCATGGACGGTTAGTTTAGAGCCTCCGTCGGAGGCCGAGGTCCGAAACGCGATCACAGCCCTCAATCGTTTTCGTGCCGCTAGCCCGGATTCCCTCCCACCTGCACTATTTAAGGATGGAGGTGAGGTCCTCTGCAAGGCACTGACCTCCCTATTCGAACGTATCTGGAACGAAGAGAGTGTGCCGGCTAATTGGTGCGAATCGATTATAGTGGCAATATACAAAAAGCGCAGCCGCACAGACTGTGCGAACCACAGGGGTATTAGCCTAACGCCAGTTGTGACAAAATTATTGGCCTCCATTATCGTTCGTCGCCTCACTGCAGAACGGGAATCTCGGATTAGGGAAGAGCAGGCCGGTTTTCGCCCAGGTTGTGGCTGTATAGACCATATATTCACCTTGCGGCAGGTGCTAGAGCAGCGCCACGCATACCACAGACCGACAATAGCTGTGTTCCTCGATTTCAAGTGTGCGTTCGATTCAGTCGGTCGATCGATACTGTTCGAAATACTTGCGCGGAAAGGTGTTCCCACGAGATATGTGAACATCCTTCGTGCTCTATACTCGAACACTACAAGCCGCGTCAGGGTCTATGGTGTCCTATCGGATAGCTTTTCGACTACAAGTGGCGTTCGTCAGGGTTGTCCGATTTCCCTGTTTTTGTTCAATTTCGTCGTGGATTCTACGATGGAGTTTTCCCTGACGGAATCCAAGGATGTATGCGTTGAAGTGCTGCCTGGTGAAAGGTTAGTTGACCTAGATTATGCGGACGATATCGTCTTGCTTTTCGACGATGTTGGGGCGGCCCAACCAACCCTGAATAGCCTATCCAGAGTGGTCCCATTATTTGGTATGCACTTCGCACCTTCAAAGTGCAAAGTGTTGCTGCAGGACCACCAGCCACTTGATGACCCCTTGACGCTTGCTAACGAGGAACTCGAGGTGGTTGATCAATTCACTTATCTTGGCAGCTGCATCAGCAATGATGGGTGCATAGAAACTGACGTGAGCTCACGCATTGCGAAGGCCAGAGCTGCCTTCTTGAACCTGCGTCATCTTTGGCGACAGAAGGGAGTTTCCCTTCGTCTGAAAGGCCGTGTATACAAGGCCACAGTGAGGGCCGTTCTGCTGTATGGTAGTGAAACTTGGCCCCTTCGGTCTGAAGATCTGAGGCGCCTTCAAGTCTTTGATCATCGTTGTTTGCGAAGCATTGCTGCTGTCGGATGGCACCAGTGTGTCCGCAACGATGATGTGCGTAGGCGAGTACTAGGTGGTGATAATCATGCTAGTACCCTAGAACAACAGATAGCACTGAATAAGTTGCGTTGGCTCGGGCACGTGCTACGCATGCCTGGTCCCCGCTTACCTAGGAGGGCCTTGTTTATTGTGCCAGGTGGAGGGTGGCGCAAGACTCGAGGTGGACAGAAGTTGACTTGGCAGCGGGAAATGAAGTCACTGACGACCAAACTGGGTGCCGTTGGTCCGTCTCGCCTTCCGGGTTGGAGTCCACGTGACTCACCTTGTGCTTGGCTCGAGACTTTGCAAGACATGGCTCGCAACCGACACCAGTGGCGCGTCTGCTGCCGTCTTCTAATCGGATTGCCTGTTTGAAGTATTTTTGGTGCTGAGTTATCTGCGGGGTAATGGCTGATTATGACGCGTGGCAGTGAAAGCCGCAAGGAAGCTGTCTCGCCGATGCCGCCTTATCTTTGCATGATAG